ACTCGAATCGTTACCGTTACAACTGGAAAAAGATGCTGAAGGAACCTTGGAGAATTCCACTAAGTATATGCGCATCGTCGGAAGTCTGGGGGTACTTGACTCATACCCGTCCCGACCTTTCATATGTTGTTGGAATGGTGAGTAGGTACATGGAAAAACCCACTATGATGCCTCATCAAGCGATTAAGCACATTCTCCGCTATGTGAAGGGAACCACAAGCTATGGACTGAAGTATCAAAGAGGGCGATGTCTTGAAGAACTAGTCGGCTTTACAAATAGTGATTTAGCTGGAGACATGATGATAGAAAAAGCACCAAAGGAATGACATTTTATCTCAACGAAAATTTGATCTTTTGGCAATCTCAGAAGCAGCTAATTATGGCACTATTTTTCTGTAAGGTCAAGTTCATGACAGCAACTGTCATCGTGCCAAGCATTTTGGTTGAGAAACTTGTTAAGTGAAGTGATCGGAAGTGAGCTAAAGCTGATAACTCTCTACGTCAACAACAAATCTGTGATTGCATTGATGAAGAATCTGGTATTTCACGTACGCAGAAAACACATTGACACTCACTTCCATTTCATTCATTAGTGTGTCGAGAAGAGACAGATCATTGTGGAGTTCATATGCACCAGAGAACAATGTGCATATATTTTCACCAAGGCCATACACATGGGTTAAGTTTGAAGCAAATGCAATAATTGGTGGGAGTGAGAATCTCAAACAAAGTCAAACTTACGAGGGAGATTGTGAGCCAATAAGCTTAACTTAGTAAATAAGTTACTAACTTATGGAGCAACTTTAGGAGAATTGCCAGTAGCTGTCAAATTGTGGACAAGTTTAGTGACTTAATTAGGAAGATTGTGAGTGGTTTTTAACTTGAGAAGTTCAAGAAACTTGTTAGTGCTTTCTCCACTATAGATAAGTGTTTAAGGTTCTTCTACTTAAAAGATTTCTTCCCTCAAGTTGTTATTTTTACTTCAGTTGTTTGTTCTAACATATTTCGATCATAGGTCACATCCAAACAAAGGCTAGGGCGCTAGGGCTAGAACGGTATTCATGTTGTCCTAGGTCAATATGTTTCTAATAGACCAAGCACACTAGGATTGTACACAGTGATTAGAGATCTGGACCTGAGTGCACCTAGAGGTTGCTTTAGCCTCGAATAGATAACTCTATCCTATAAACGTTAAATAAGATTTAAATCACTTGAACGATTTAAGAACCTAGTAAACCTCCACAACACCCAATAAATTTTAAGAGAACTTATGAGACCACTAGCCACATGAACACTATCAATATAGGGAATCACTACTATGTGAAAAAACAGGACAAAGTCCATAAACCTACCTTCAGGAGGGATGAGGGACAACATGAATAGGTGACACAAGGAACTGCTATTGTGTATGGATGTAAACCTGCCTTGAAAAGGACAAGAGACTACATAATTAGAGAACATGAGGAACCATTACTTTGTGTAGAAATGGGGTCAAAGCCCGTAAACCTACTTTGCAAGGGGACGGGACTACATGAGCCGGCGACATGAGAAACTGCTACTTTGTGCATATGTAAACTCATCTTAAGAGGAGATGATGTACTACATAAATAGATAACATGAGGATCCACTATTATGTGTAGAACAAACCCGCCTTAGGAGGAGACGAGAGACTACAAGAGTAGAAGATACCAAGAAAGATGTCACTATCATATGTGGTAACAGTCAAGAGATTTCTGAACTAGGCCCGAACTTCTTTGAGCCTTAAGAAAAGCTCGTGGTAACTTACTAGGTTAAGGATGCGATGAGAGCTTACAAGTAGGTTGTTTACTGAGTATTTTTATCCTCACACTTTTTTTTTTTAAGGATCATGATTTACCTGTTGAGGTGGATGAGTGCTTGGAAGCTATGTTGTCATATAGGGGAGTCGACGCGAAGCATTAGTTTAATATGTACTTTATGAGTTGTCATTTGTAACATTTTGTATCTCTCTCGGTTCCCTGTTTTTGTATTGAATTATGGATTTTGACTATGGTTTTATATGTTTTTAATTCACCAAAATTTTGTCGTACTTTTGTATTTTTTTTTTTGTTTTGTCTTTTAGTTACCGTTTGAAATTTGAAGCCTAAAAAATCTAGTCGTGAAAGATTGGTATTGGAGCAATCGGGTTTCAGGTCTATAGATTTTTTTTTTTTTAGGGTGGAGAGTCATAAACCTCTATGGCTCAACTCGGGATGACCAAGTTATCTGAACCTAAATTATATATTAAGTTTAATGAGATTGTTCCTTAAGAGCCTTCCGTTTATGATGGTTACTATTACACTTTCTAAATGGAATGACGTGCTAGGATATGCAGTAACCAAAGCTTTTTACTTCCGGCAGATTATGGCTCCAAAAAAAAGAGGCAACGACTGACTAACCGGGCCCATGAGGGACAAGAGGAGGACCATAGTTGGCACTGTTGTGAACAAAACGGACCTCAGGAAGTTGTTAAAGAGCAGCCACAGGAGGGTGACGAAGTGAGGCCTCAAGTGCCAACGTCTTGGAGAGGGAAGAGAAAGGTCGCGACCGACACCGCACCACTCAGAGACCCGAAGCTGAACCGACTGGGGTCCAAGAGATACTAGAGACATTCATGAGGTCCACTCTAGAGACCAGGGCACAGACAAGCCATATGCGGTTGACTTTGGGGGCTAGTTAGACATCAAAAATCATAAGAAAAATTTTAAAAGAAAGGTTTTGACTTGTTACTCTGTTTGGTTGGTTGTTTGTGGGCGTGTAATGTGATGCAAGGCGATGCTGGCGGCAATGAGGGCGAGGGGCATGCAATGGCTCGCTACACGGAAGGAATTATATGAAAGTACTTTAAGAAAACATATGAGATGGTTGGGCAAGGAGCTACCTGCGAGGACGACTAAGCAAGGAGATGTTTGCACCCGGGAGTGTGAGGGCAATTGAGTAAGAGGCGTGGCATGTCGTCGGTGAGAAGTCGTGTCATGATTGTTGTCTGCACTTTTGCAGGTGTTTGAGGTCAATATGACTACTATGATATTTCCATACCCTTTTTTACCATTTTCGACTCTTTGAAAGCCGTTTTTAGCACTTTTGTAAGTGTTTGAGGTCAATATGACTACTATTTAGCCTAAATTATTCGAAGCTAAGTTAATATAATTTTCATGCAATTAGATGAGCCAAATTTCTTAGTAAAATTCTAAATTATGAGTGTGGAACTCCTTAGGTTGAATTAGATTTCAAGGAGCATAGTGACACTGACTTAGACCAACCAAATAAGTGGTTCACTGTTTGACGCCCATGGGCTTGATTGAATGACTTGTATGTTGATTGAATGACACGTACCCTGTGGCTTCTGTACATATCATATTTTATGATGTTATGGTGTATGATGTATGTTATGTTATGTGATAGTTTATGCAATGATATGAACTATGCTTGGATATGAATGTTAGAAGATGCATGAACCTCCATATGTCATGTCACGTATATAATGTTAGTGTTCACACTATGCTAATGAGACATTGATAAGTCATATATGTTAACCACGAAAGATATGTCCAATGTATGTATGCATGTTTCATAAGAATGTCATGCTATGAAAATAATGGAGATATGATTTGCATCATATACAAGATGATTTGAAATTATGGGAGCTCATGCATTTTGTATGTCATGTGCAACGGGATACTTTCCAGTTATGATTAGTATAAATGCATACACCACGATATATGTACCCCATGATATTACGTGCGCTCTTTTCCCCCCGTGACTTCCAATATAAGTGTGCGCTAGCCCATAGTCAATCCCATGAGGTACATATATGAACTCGTCTGGTAAGTCTATGTGCATGTGTGAGCCATGGGCAGAGAAATACTACACATCTAACCTTGTCTCAATTGGGAAAGTAGATACTAAACCATGATGCTTTATGAAAGGATTCTACCCAAATAGTAGTGCCACTTATTGAGTATTCTTAAATACTCAAGTCACGCATAGATGACGACGTCATTGTAGGCCATGGAAACAAAGTCAGAATAGTTACCTATGTATTACAAATCACCGGTCACAAACACCCTAAATTTCTCAAAATATGAAAGGATTCTACCCAAATAGTAGTGCCACTTATTGAGTATTCTTAAATACTCAAGTCACGCATAGATGACGACGTCATTGTAGGCCATGGAAACAAAGTCAGAATAGTTACCTATGTATTACAAATCACCGGTCACAAACACCCTAAATTTCTCAAAATTTGTAACACAAAAGGAGAATATAATAATAAGTAGGGGTGTACATGGTCGGGTTGTCAATTTTTTTTTGTTCGGGTTGGTTGGATTGGTAACCCAACCCAACCCTCTATTTTCGGGTTGGGTCTGGGTTGTCAAATTTCGAGTTGGGTCCGGGTTGTCAAATTTTGGGTTGGGTCCGCATTTATTGAGAATTGATTCATGAAACTAAAAGACAACTAAATACCGAGATCATTCTCAAAATAACTTAATATATAAATTGTCGAACTCAAGCGTGAGGGTCTCTAAACTGGCCTCAGTACCACTCTTGCAAGCCCTTTAATACAAAAGATTTCTTAATATATTTTATATATTTTTATTTGACTTTTGAATGTTTTACCCACGTACTTGAAACCGAACCGATTCCGTTTGGGTTCAGAAAAATGAACCTAACCCTACTCGAAATGCTAATCCAACCCAACCCAACCTTTATAGTTTGGGTTGGGTTGGTTCGGGTCATCGGGTTGTCGGGTTGAATGTAGACCCCTACTAGTAAGTAAATTAAATGTTTGGGTGGTTAGATATATATTATTTAAGGAAATGTACAAAAATCACATAAAAATAATTAATATTATACAATTTATAGACTGATAATTATATATTTTAAAAAAAAAAAGCTAAATAATTATCCAATTTTAAAGACGTATTGGAGATATAAAATTATAATTTAATGGATTGGTCAAATTGATGAAATGAATTAGAATAAAATTAGGGGTTGTAATTTTGTTTATACCTTTTCCAAGCTTGAACGAGTTCCGATTCATTTCTTGGATCGAACGGCTTTGAGAGGTTTGATCTCCGCTCGTTTCGCCTTCGGGAATTTTACATCAACAAATCCCCATTCCGCTTCCTCCAAATCAATTTCCACCGCTTTCTTCCTAAAACTCTCTCTCTACCTCTCCTTCTTTCGGTAAGTAATCTTCTTCGAACAAGCTTGCATAGTTGTTATATGTTTTCTCGGTAATTGTTATCTTTGCTTGCTTCTTGTTAGGAAACGCGATCTGTTGAAATGGCAGCAGCGAGAACGGCCGCAAGGATTTTTTCTCGAAGGTTCTCCGGCAGCGGGAAGATTCTCAGCGAGGAAGAAAAGGCTGCTGAGAATATCTACATCAAGGTCCCCATCTGTAGCTCTGACCTGTGATTTTTGCGTTTTGCGAATGTTTTTTATCTGCTTTTCTGATTTTGTAAGGATCGTGTTGGTTCTTTCTTAGATTATATGCAATGAAATGAATTAAAAAGTATGGTGGATTTGGTTGTTGCAGACGTACAGCTTGCTTGTTTTAAGAATTTTTTAGTTTCTGGATGAATCGAACTCTATCCTGTCAAATTAGCCTACTATTTCTTTTCTATTTTTAGATTGCTCATTATTCGTTTTTGTTTGAATTAAGATCGTATCGTTTGGTTTTAGAAACGGCTTACAAATTTGTTTAGGTATTGGAGGAGTTGTTGTTTTATAGTCAATTCAAAAGGTTTGAAATCTCGCAGTAATATGCATAGAAGAAGAGAACGTACGATAATGTTTTATTTGATCAACTAGTTATGTCTTTCATTTTGAATAATTAGGCCTTAAGATATTTTATTAGGTTAGAATTATCTTCTTATTAGGTTTTCTTAGTTTTAGGTTTTTTTTATCGTTTCCTGTTTCATAAATTGTTATATTTGATTGATGAAAATGATAAAGCTTGGAGAATTTACTCGTGGGAAATGTACATGGTATTTCCTTTTAAGTTGTTTATTAATGGCGGTCTAGACTCCCTCTAACAAGTGTACCGTCCTTTTCAATTTCTACTCCAGTGTTCAATTATTGTTTCTAATTTACTGGTCTCCAGGATAGATGGTATTATTGAAGTAGAGGATTGGTTTTTTGATATTGCCATATAGGTTCATGACTTTATAATCAAAGCTTTCTTTGTGTTGAGTTCTATAGTTCTTCATTTTGTCTGTAAATAATTGAAAGTTTTTCCAGTTAGTTGTACTTTATTGTTCTTAATGATAGTTTTTTTGTCAATATATATAACTGAAGTTTTTAATGTCGGACGTCTGTCTAATCTGAAACATGAAATTGCAAAGTCTTGGAGATTTTTCAATGTCAAGAGTTTGTATATGTACGAGTGAACATGCCACCTTCACCATCTGCTTGCTATTATAGTGTCTTTAGTACTTGTTCTCATTGTTTGATTTTGATTTTGCAGAAAACTGAACAAGAGAAACTTGAGAAGCTTGCACGCAAGGTATGTTGTAGTTCCTTATAAAATTAATTTGAGAACTTGGTGATTGAAATTATTCGGTTCTTGGATAATTTAGCTCTTACAAACGAAATTTTTGTAGTCTTTTTACCATTATAAAACTATGATATGATCTTATAGAAGTGACTTGAGATGTTTTATTCTATTGATGAGGGTTGTCAAGAAAATAGATTATCATTTCTTTTGGGTGAAGAGAGCCACTGATTGTGGTTTGGAAGTATCCTATCCTTACCATAAGCTATTTTCATGGTTACATGATGTTATATGAACCACTTTTTCAACAAATTAATATTTGGAAGATGAGTTGGAAAGACGTTGAGTGCTAAAGCAACTTGATTACAGTAAATGGAAGCTAAATCCACCGTGGTCATTCATACTCGGTGTTTTATAAGTTGGGGACATCCTATAAAATTTGGTGGTGGTTCTCGATTTGGACTAGCTTTTATGTATCTATCAGATGATACTGATCGTACATTGATATTTTTTATTTTCTTCAATGGATGTTTACTCTGAATCAAAGCTGTGATCTCAAAGACATAAATTTACAATTAACCCTTTGAGTCTTTGACCATTTGGCCAATAGAGACTAGTTTTTCTTTTAAGAGCTCAGATTCCTTGGAGAGATTTTAAGCTGTCTGATGTTGTTGCCTGTTTTCTTTCTAGAATTTCATCTTTCTTTGAAGTTTATGTGAATTCCAATCACATCGTATTCATTTAGTTCCGTTATAATATTTACTCTCTCCACTTGTTATGGTGAACTCTTGTACTTGGACATCTAGATTTGTAGTAAAATAACTATCCTGGCTGCAAATGGCTAATGTATTCAGGGACCGAAACCAGAAGAAAAGCCGGTAGAGTCTGTAGCCGAGTCGATTCCAAGTGGGTCAGCCTCCTCAGCGTCAGGAGCATCAACAGAGAAGATATCTAGTGACAAATACCGCAATTATGCTGTTGTAGCCGGAACTGTGACTATTTTTGGTGCTCTTGGCTGGTATCTCAAATCTAAAAAGAAGCCAGAGGAAGTCCATGACTGAGATAGCTAACAGCATGTAGTTTATCCATATCATCAGGATCTGGAGGGAGGGAGGGAGGAGTTTGAGTGTTCTCTTTTCCTCTGCTGAATAATCCAGAAATCGAGATGCATGTGGCTCTTGGTTTATGAATGCAATTCTGTTCAGATTTACGTTTCTCTCAGGATAATGGTTTCTTTTCACCCTTATTTCTTTCTCTTGAAAATTAACAGTGAGTTAGAGACAAAAATATGGTCTAATTGGGTTTCATTATCACATTCTCTCCAACAATATTGAGAAAATAAATCCTCATAAAGCGGTTGTATCTTTCGATCCCATCCCAACTCTGGCGTTGTAAAGGCTTGAATGGATGGATATTATATCCTTGAGAATATCGTTGAAAATTGAAGTACTATATTTTGTTATGCATATGAATGCTACTGAATATCGTTTGATGGGATTAATGGATTATTCGAAATTAATTCATGTACAAGTTGATGGAAAAACTAATAGCTACTGAAATATGTGCATAGATTATAAGTTTTAGTATTATGATAAGTAAACCGTTTTATTTTATGGCTCATACACTATTCTTGTGTTTTATGGTTCATACACTATTCTTGGATCAAGATGACAAGACGAGATGCGATGTTGCATGTGTAGAGGCAAGTCAGATGTCTCGCAGGCGATTGAAGATGCACGCGCAGGCGGCGATTGGCAACCTAGCCAAGGCGAAAAATATATATGGGGCTTAATTCCCTTTCGTGAGCGTGTCAAGATCACGACGCTGCACGGTAAAAAATGTTGGTCCTGAATGATGTTGATATGATATTCAATGTCAATGAATAGAAGTAGTGCGGAAAATTTTCTCAATCTCAATCCCAAGTAGTATTAAGTTAATTTTTCCTATGATATGTATTTCGAATCGGTAGGTATCATAACAAACACAATAGATATGTAAAGTTGTAAAGTGTGTTCGTACTCATTACTTCACACTTTGAAGCTTTTTCCTGAGGGTTTATGGTCTGAATTTATAAGAACTTATTTGCCCTCTAATCCCAAATTTAAGTTGATGGGGGCATCTGGTCACTTGACTGGTCACTAAAAAAAAAATATTAATTTTTGTGGCATATTATTCATAATATACTTCTCAATAAATAAAAAATAAATAAAAATATAATTAGTTAAAATTATTTAATAAATTAATTTAATAAAAAATAAACTAACTAACCATACTTAATTATCTATATCTAAATCTAAAGTTAATTGATGCAATAAAATTGTTATAATGAATTATGATAACTAAATAAAAATATTATTCCTACCAAATTATTTATATAAATATATCTCATTTAATATAATTTAATATATATATATATATATTTCATTGTTTTTAATATTTATAATTAAAAAGTGTTAGGATGAAAATCCTATCTCAGTTATAATCAAATAATACTATCTCTACTGTTATTAGACCTTCTGGGGAATCCTAACAAAGCTGTGAATGTTTATGTTCAAAGTGGATAATATCATATGATTATAGTGTCTCAAAGTGAACAATATCATACTGTTATAAAATTCAAAGTGAACAATATCATACAAGGTAAAAAACAAAAAGTTTATATAATTTTATTAAATTTTTTTATTTAATAATAATTATTATGGTATTGAGCTGGAGTCGGTTAGAGTGATGGATTCACTTGAAAAAAATGGATGATGAAAAGTTGGAAAGGAATAATGCCGCTGCCTAAATTTGAAGCCTACTTTCTCAGCAGCCTTACAACTCTCAATTCGCCTCTTTATACCAACGATTTGGTGAAGAAAAAGGGAGACATCGTTGCTTTTTTTTCTCCGCTGCCCTCGATTTCATCAAACTACAGAACAATCCCAACTCACTGACCTCCTAAGAACCGCAAATGGCGGCGGCAAGAAGAGAGGTTACGGTTTCAGCCCTGCAATTCGCTTGCACAGACGACGTCTCTACTAATGTCGCCACCGCTGAAAGGTTTTACTCTTTTCTCAATGGTTTTTTTACTTCGGATTTCTGTTGCGTACATGAATTTCTTGATTAAGTTCATTAATCTATCCTGGGTGTTTGATTTTGTGTAATCTTAATTCTTGTTGGTACCATCGTTTCACGTCCCTGTAACTGTGTTGCTCACGTTGTTTCAATTTGTTTCTGGTTATTACTGTATTTACGAACTGAGATATGGGCTGTTTTCTTGCTGTTCTGAGGATTATCTTATCATGACCTAGAAAATATCAGTTTCTATTTGATTGTAGGGGTTTTATGCTGTAGGTGTTGTGTATTTGCAAATTGGTTTTAGAATTTTTCTGCATCACTTTCTTTGGCGATGAATACTAAAACATGTGAGCTAATCAGATTTCTCCTGTAGACTCTTTCTTGCTGCGATTGGGGTTTCAGAGTAAATTCAATAATCATATTTTTTGATTTTTATGCTCCTGTTCGAAAGATTGCTGTTTCGAGTTGATAAGTATGTGTTTGAAGATGCAACTTGAATGTTCATTTATCTGCAGGCTGGTTAGATCGGCACATGCAAAGGGTGCAAACATAATCCTAATTCAGGTATACGAACTAGAAACTAAATCTATGAACTTTTCACGTTGTTAATTTATATATTTTAGTTCTAGAGTATGGCCCCAAAAAATCTCATAAAATTAAAGCTACGGCCTTAAGAGAAACGGATGAAGAATCAAACTAACAAAGCTGCTTGAATCATACCCTCTTTGCAAATTAGCTGTGAGTAAACAAATGGTCCAAGAATCTAATATCACTTTCACATCTTGGAGGCATGGAAAATAGGGATTTCTCCCGTTTAAGAGATCATAAATATTTGAACTTTTCAAATCTCGAGGACAAAGTAACACTCTACCAGCAGCTGCAAAAGGATTAAAAAAAGACCAATGTTTAACTGGAAGTGATTTCATTGGAAATATTTACGAGAAAATAGATTTTAGACCTCAAAAAGTGTGCATTCAGGAAATCAAATTAGAAAGGTTCCTTTTGGACGGAGGTAATCTATTAACTTGATACAGCCTAGAATTGAAAAAGGAGTTATTGAACCAAGCAACCAACATGTGATATGAACCACGACCCAGGAATTTTCATACCTCAAGGTCCTATTACAAGGACGAGAGACAAGAAGTCACATCAAGCTTTAGTCACTTATATTCAAGTTGTGGTGAGCTCGTCAAAGGGAATTCTAGAAGAGATTGGAGTCCTAATCTACATGTTGTGCAAAGTTGAGCTTCAAGATAGAGATGCATAACATGTAGGGAAGAGCTCCAACATCTTTCAGAATTTCCTTTGACGAGCTCATCATAACTTGAATATAAGTGACTAAAGCTTGGTGTAACTTTTTGGCTCTCGTCCTTGTAATTGGACCTTGAGGTATGGAAATTCCTTGGTTGTGGTTCATATCAACATGATTCAAAGACAGTATGTTCAAGGAAAAGATATATATAAGCGACTGAATCAAATGCTAGTGCAGCATATGCATAAGCATTCAGTGAATGTTACATTGTGACGGTCCTGTCGCTATCTTGTTTCTTCATGTGGAAATTGTTAAATAGTGCTTTGTGCATCTATTGTAAAGATACTGTTTGCTAAGGGACAAACAGACCAGACAAGTGATTCTTTTTCTTTGTAGTCAACTGGTAGCAACTAGTGGTTTTTTTTTTTTTCACTGAACTTTTCGTTACGGATTTTCACAGGAACTGTTTGAAGGCTACTACTTCTGCCAGGCACAAAGGGAGGATTTTTTTCAACGAGCCAAGCCTTATAAAGGCCATCCGACAATTCTTAGGTAAAGTTAAATTGACAATGACATTTCTCTTTATTTGGCATTCAGGATATGTTTACACTTCATCTATTTCAGACCTCAAATCAGAGTGACACATTCTCGACTTCATCTTTTACAGATACATTTCTGTCAAACTTATTTCAGTATCTGTTTTTTTTTTTGCCTAGGATGCAACAACTTGCAAAAGAGTTAAGTGTGGTGATTCCTGTTAGTTTCTTTGAGGAAGCTAATAATGCCCATTATAACTCCATAGCCATAATTGATGCTGATGGGTCAGATCTTGGACTTTACAGAAAGTCCCATATCCCAGATGGACCAGGTAGAAAATAACATATAATATTTTCTGACACAGAATTTCGTGTATATATATATTTTTTATATTTAATAATTAATTTTCTACAGGCTATCAGGAGAAGTTCTACTTTAATCCTGGCGACACTGGGTTTAAAGTGAGTGCTTTTGTTTAGTCTTTTTAATCTGCACATTAATTGGAATTGAATTCGATAACTAGTGGAACTCATCATCATTCTTTTTGATGCTTGAACAGGTTTTCCAGACAAAATTTGCGAAGATTGGAGTTGGTAAGATATAATTGTTTTGCTTCTTGCACTACTATAAAATTTTATAGTTTGGTCCATAATCTTTCAAAAGTTTCAGTGTGGTCCTTGATAATTGCTATTTGCAGACACTATAGCTAGTTGTCAGTACTATCCATTAATAGATCTGAATTAAATCAAAAGGAATTGTTGGTGTTGATTTACTAGAGAAGAAAAATACTATTGTATTATGGTTTCAGTATATTACAACCATAAATTTAAAGAGGTGAATTTGTACAGTTAAGGAAATACAGCTAATGGTAAAAAGGGGGAACCCTAACGTGAAGAAAAAGAAACAAGGGAAGGAGAAAATATGTGGCTTTTAGGTCATCAAATATGCCTTTGAATAATGCCTTTATGAGAATATTGACCATTTGCATCTTGGTTGATATGTAATTGAGAAACATACCGATAAGACAATACTGATAAGACAATCCTAATCTTCAGCTCAATGATCCAAGCTTTTGTTGAAGCAAGAACTCTTGAATGAAAGAAATTAACACCTCCTTTTACAAAATTTGGATCCACCAAGAGATAAGCTAGAATTAGATTATCTCTTAAGATTAAAGATCTATAAACAAGATTTGGAACCTTGTTCTAAATTGTGTCACTTCACTATCAAACTTGATCAAAACTTGATTGAATGACTCGGATGCAATCTGCAACAAGAGTTGCTTAGAAATGACAAAAATGATGCTCAAATTTCTAAGGGGGTAAGTCTCAACTTGAGAGCTCAATTTCATTCATAAAAAATATGCCTTTTTACATATTAATTTGTGGGTATTTATAGTCTCTCCACAAAAGCAACTTCCAACTCTTCAAATGCCCACTAAAAGAAGTTAGTGGCCATGATTGG